AGAAGAAGAAGAAGAAGAAGAAGAAGAAGAAGAAGAAGAAAAGAAACTGTAGTCTTAAGGGCCAGCCAGATAGCTCAGCAGAATAAAGCATCTGCTTAGGCAGACACAGTTACCAGGGATCTTACTGGCTCTGCGCCCAGGGCGTGCTGAGTTGGCAACTGAGACTGGGCATGGTGGCATGTGCCTATAATCCCAGCACTTGGGAGGCTGAAAACAGGAAGATCACTACGAGTCCGATCTGTGTGGTAAAACCCTGTAGATCCTGTAGTAAGTAAATTAAAAATAGTAATAAAATAAATTTTAAAAAGAAAATATATCCTTAAATGAAATAAATTAGACGTGTGTAGCTGTCACATTGCCTTTCTGGTGTTGGAAACTGAACATGTAAATAAGAACCAACATATGTAATAGATATAGTAAAATTAGAAGTAAAGTGAAATTAATGGGGGAAGGAAGTAAAAAATATGAAAAAGGATAAAATGGAAACAAAACTTTGTAAATAAGGAGGGGAAGAAGTTTGTAAGAGTGGGAAAACAGAGAAACTAAGATACATCATGTACACATACAAGTTCCATATAATGAGTGTGATCACTATGCATCTCCAAATTGTGCCAATAAACTTAACAAAAAGTAATAGCTGAGTCCATATCGTTTTATTTTGATGAGTAATATATTACTGATAAACTAGATTACACCCCAAATCTAGTATCAATAAAATATTTCCAACCATCTTGTAGTTTTGTAATACTATGCTCCAGTAATTGAAAATTCAGTAATGCAGCAGCACATAGACAATTTCTTGCTAAAAAGTTCTTGAAGCCTGAAGATAAAGCACAGACATCTGCTGCTCATACTTTATAGAGGCAGTAAAGTTTAAGTCTTCACTGATACTTGCTTCTGCGCTTTAATATTAAGTCATCATAATCTTTTCAGCAGCAGTTCAAGTTTCTTTTGGCCTAGAACAAATGAGATCTAATAGGTCCTACTTACTAGTAATTTAAAATAAGGCAACACATATCTGACATATTCAGCATAGAACAAATAAGTGTTAAACCCTTCAAACTTAATTATTGTACAAATGTCCACAGCTTTAATACATCTGGCTACAGTCATGTTGTTTGTCCATAACACAAACCATATTGAACACCAAGCATTTGCTGTGCATGCAGAGTTTAATAAGTTAATTAATTCACTATGTCAAAAATCTCAAAGTTTGTTGGCAAGTAAAGAGTAAGAAGTACTGAAATAAGGGTATGGAAAACATTTTATGGAAATACAGAGAGCTAAGTAACTAATTTTCTGTAAGGGATGAATATAGGGAGGTTATGGGAGGGAAATATAAACTCAAGAATACTTCAAAGAACTTCAAGTAGGACAGAAAATTTGGCATCCAGAAAACCTAGTTTTAATTCTGGATTTCCTATTTAATAGTTATGAGGTCATGGTGAAAATATCTGAACCTCTTCCAAGCTGAAATTTATTGTGCATAAAATATAGGTGATATAACTTTTTTCATTCCATTGTGGGGCTATTGTTTCTGGATGTACTGCAATATCATGTCAATACATGGAGTGGATGAAGAAAGCTCCTATTCCATCTTACAGCTCAAAAATTCCATTTGATATAATGTCCTCAGACAGAGGACATATCAGATATTAAACTAATAAGAATAGATACTATGTTTGATATTAGCCAAAAGGCCAAGAAGTGATTAGGTGATACAACATTTTATAAATTTTCATAAAAGCCGAATGAGTCCACGGAGGATATATGCTTGGTGAATACTAGGCTGTACATACATATTAATAGTAACTATTGGTTGCTATTAAAAATTGTACAAGAATGCCTAGGCTGGGAAGAGGCAATAATAAGTGCATTGATCTTATTAGAATATGCAGTGCTAGATAGTAAAAATGAAGCTCGAAAGATATCTGTGCTGAAAATGTCTTCATTGAGAGATATGGAATTTGTATATTTTACTGGGGGTGATGGAGAATTTTTCAAGAATTTTATAATTGAGCTTACACTGGGGAAAATTATTTGGCAAGCAAGAGGAAACATGAAAGAATGAATAAGTGAATTTGGGATGGGTTCTTGCTATGCAGTTCAGTCTGGCCTTGAACTCACTTTGTAGCCCAGGCTAGTGTCTAACTCAGGGCAATCCTCCTCCCTCAGCCTCCTGAGCACTGGGATTACAGGCACGCACCACAACACCCTGTCAATCATAAATTTAGATTCAGAAATATCAGGTAGAAAAGTGTAACATCAGTTCAAGCAAACATTAGAAGAGGTGGTCTGAGGCAATGGGGAAGGAGCACACATTAAAAAATGTATGAGATAGAGTTACAAAGACTTGTTAACTCATCAGAAGTTGTAATATATAAGAGGTAAGTAAAATCATAGAGGAGAGGAAGAGGTTTTACAATTGTATTAGTTCGTTTTTGCAATAAACAATGAATACATTCATCATAGGGTATTGGTACATCTATACACATCTTTTTACTTTCCCTTCCTTTCCTCTACTTTCCTTCTCCATTTGTCTCTTGGTCTCATTCCCATTTACAAAAGGTCTATCTCCCTGTTTCCCATTATATGTCCTTTATCTTTCTCTTTAAGCTATTTATACTTCCAGCTTTTAATATATGCGAAACAAAGCAATATTTAAGTATGTGTGTCTGACTTATTTCACTTAAAATTATGGTTTCAATATGGGCCTGTTTTCTGCAAAATGGCTCAAATATATTTTATATATACATTATAAACTTATCCATTCAGTTGTTGTTGATTACATAGGACTATCCTATAATTTACCTATTAATAATTGTAATTCTATAAACATGGGTATCTATGTGTCAGTGTAAGTGGATGCACTGAACTCTTTAAGAAAGACACTGAGAAGAGGTATGGTTAGGTGAAACAGATTTTTTTTTGTTTTTTTCTTTTTTTTCATTTTATGTATTTGCTACAGGATCTCACTACACAGCTGAGACTTGTAGTGATCCTCCTGTCTTCAGTCTCCCCAGCTGCGGTGTATGCCACCATGTCGTCTCAATCCCTGGCTCAGCGTGCCCCGTAGGCAGTGCCAATGCAGTACACAGAATCTGGAATTGAACCCTGATCCCTGTGCTTGCCAAAGCAGACACTTAGTCCACTGAGCTATCTTTCCAGCCCTCTTCTTTTAGTTTTTCTCTTCATTTTTTTTTCAGTCTTTTGAGGAATCTCCATAGTGATCTCTGCAGTTTTTCTCCTAGTTTACTACATTCTCAACATAAATGTGGAAGATTTTTTGATGAAAAGTATTATTTTTTAACATGCAAGAGATATAGCCAGGCATGGTGGGTTCATGCCTCTAATTCTAGCACTCTGGAGGGAGAGACAAGATGATGTTGAATTCATGGGCATCCTGCAGGACATACATTGTTGGACTATCTCAAATGAAACAGAACCAGTGGAGCAGATATATGCATGATTATATGCTAAAGAAAATGAATGCATACACATCAAGTTAAAGATTATTTATTTGTACTGGGCATTGAACTCAGATACTCATTCATGCTGGGAATTCACTTTGTCATTAAGCTGCACCCTCAACATCTAAGTTAATTTTATATATAAGAAAAGTAATATTCACTTATTCTGAGGAAACTTCTGAAAATAAGTGCTGCATGCCACAATAGCAAAAGGCAAATTTATTTGGAAAGCACTTACTGAACCCCATTATGTTTCAGAAATTATGGTAGGTGTATAATTAAGGAAATATGCTAGGTGTCCATTGATACTATGAAAAAGAAAAAGAGGATGAAGATAGGATAGTTCTGAGGTGGTGTTTCAGGTAAGATGATCCAAAGTAAGATATGAGCAGAAACATAGGTGGATATTATCAATTGCCCTGTAGGTTAGAAGATAAGTGCATTGGTTGTGTTCAAAGCAGTATTAATTCAGTCTAGAATAGGTTAAATTTGAGCATGGATCTGGATGGGAGACAAAAATACTACACCAAAAGTGTTGTGGAAGATCAAACTCAGGGACTTAGCCTTTAAAAGTTCCAAGACTCAGAGATTGGGAAGATGAGAACTGATCCAGCAATGGAGATTGAAATTCATCAATGATGCAGAAAGAAAGCAAACACTGTTTCGTTTTGGGGGCCAAGAGAATAAAATATTTAAAGAAACAGGAAGTCATGAACTGTACCAGATGCTGGCAAGCTGAAATCAGTAACAGCATGCTTTTGTTGATGGGAATGATGCAGTAGAAGGAGGAAAACAGATTTTTTTTGATGTGTGTAGGTGTTCCAGAACAAAGGATGTGAGGAAGCACAGGGGAAGGAGATTCAGAGTACAAAATTTTGTCCTTAACCACAAACACTTCCAGCTCAGGCAAACATAAATTTATTCAGTTGCTTATGCATGTACAGTCACACATTTTCAAAGTTTACAGCCCCACATATTCATTACTTTCAAAGCTTTCACATTTACAGTTCTATTCCTAAAATCTCCCTTTCCCCCAGGATTTTAAGCAAAGCAAGTGGAAGCACTATTAATGATCACCATTTCTAATGCACCACCAACTCCCTTGTCCTGCGCTTCCTTATCACTCAAAGCCTGCATGTGAAATAAACAGGAGGCATAGTTTTGTGGTCTTCCAGAGCACAATACCATAGCCCTGGATGTAGAAGGGTGAAAGAATTTGTATGTTTTGTGGAATGTTAGAAACCTCTCCAAGGTACTGAGCTGGTTTAGCTGCTCTCACAATTGCACTTGCAAGTCTTTTTGAAGTGTGAAAAGTGGAATCACTTTTACTTTGAGGTCTATGGTGTTTTCTTGAGAAGAATTTTGATCATCTATTTTCTGTGTAAGAAACTGTACTTCATCACCACTATACTGGTAACAGCTGAGTACAGTGTGTGGCTTAGTGTAGCAAAGTAGAGAATCATGATTTGGAGATCACATAAAAATTGTAATTATTGTCGCTATGATTCCAGTGTTCTCGTAGTGGGATGAGAGACAAATAAGCATCAGATACCCTGCTTTTCTTGCCACAAGAAGAGTCCCATTAGAGGCCACTGTGTTTGTGTGTCCACTAGAAACGTGTGCTATCAGCAGTGGAGGTAAACATTGGAACATCAGAGGGATAACCAAGGGTTGCGTTTCTAGTGAGCACAGGTATGTTAACCACTTTTAAAAGCATTTTGTTCTCCGTTGATTCGTTGGGACTCATGTATAATAGACTAAAATCCCAGCCCAAGGATTTATCACTAAGCACTGAAATAAGCATGGCTTGCTATAGAACAACAGTTTTTCATGAGCGCTGAAAGCAATTATTCCTGTAATTACTCCTTTAGCCCTTACTCCTTGAATGTTGTGGGGAACCCTGGTTCACGCAACCTTTTTGTGAATTCACGGTGAGCAAGACGGATCAGTTGTCTTGAGAGAGCCTGCTGAGCATGTGTGAAGCAAGCTGCGCATGCTCGGTGAAGTGGGCAGGTTTACCGAGACGCTAGCAGTGTCTTTTACTACTCTTCACCCGCCTCCCTCACGCAGCGCGCCCCCTCCCTTCTTTCCCACCATCACCACGCAGTCCCCCGCATCCACTCCGCCTCTCTATCCCTCCCCCCCCCCCCCCCCGCTGCCAGGCTGGGGAATCTCCATTGACGTTCGGGTGACGCCGCTGGGCCGCCGCCGTAGGGGGTTCCAAACGCTGCACAGGTAACGCCGTGGCCGCCATATTGGCAGAGCGGGGAGCCGGGAGCCGCGAGCTGTGAAGGCTCCCAAAGAAGCCCGGTAACTGGGCGGGGGGGGGAGTCATTCAGTCTAGTGGCCGTCAAGTCTCAGGCTGTAGTGAGCGCGAGCTGAGCGGTAGCTCTCGGAGACTCAGCACAGAGTTGACTTCTGTGTAGGAGCAGCAGCGTGCGCAGACTCCAGCACCCAGCCTCGGAGGGACCCCTGCGCGCGGGCAGAGGGCGCGGAAGGCGGGGCTCGAGCGCAGCGGCGGTGGCGGCGGTGGCGGCGGCGGCAGCGGCAGCGGCAGTGCCAGCGGGCCGGCTCATTAGACAGGATGCTCGGCCGCGCTGACAGTCGGTAGCTTCAGTTCGATTTTTCCTGAAAGGGCGATGCTGCCTTTCGCTCCTCAGGAAGAGAGGTGGAACCAAGAAATGGAGGTGTGCGGCGGCGTCACCAGCGTTAGCGAGGTTAGTGTGGTGGCTGAGATAGGCTGGACTCAACTCTTCTTTTGATTAGAACCCTGGCCGTGAGCCGAGAGTGAGAGCGAGCGGAGTGCGAGGGCAAGCCCCCTTGAAGCTGCCGGGTGGCGGAGCACTCGCTATCCAAACTGGGCTGCTCTTGGGGAGGCGGTAGGCTCCAGTGTGCAAAATGAGTGAATCCAGGTCCAGGCATGGCCTCAAAGGCAACTACCTCGCAGGCCACGCTGGAATTGTAAGTTTGCTCACTTTGCACTTTGAAGTGAAACTGGAGGGAGTTCAGAGTGCCATGGATGGACCCACGCGTCCTTCTTTCACCACCTTGCTGGATTTGCTTTGTGGGAACCCTGGCAGGTAGTGGTGCTCTACAGGTCACTTTTGAACCCTGGGCGATTTATAAGCCTAATGTGACAAAAACACTAAGGTAGTGAAGTAAACCTGGGGACGTTTACATATATAGGACCGGGGTTCTTTGGTCGCTCCTTACGCTTTTTTTTTAACACTCCGAGTCTAGACTGGAGGCTGGATTTATCTACATTCAGGTGATGGTCTGCAGTTCACCTGCTTCACCCCTTCATGTTTCTCACTTGCAGTCCTCACCCCGTTGGTCAGTAAAAGTACAGGCAAAGTAAACTTCGGTCTTCATAGCACGGATATTTAGTACTAGCAAGGTTCAGTCAAAATATTTTGTTTTCCTACTCTGTTCTGTTCAGCTCAGGTTCACTGTTCTGTGAGGACTTAGATGTTTAGAGTAACTTCGTTGTTGTTACGAAAGTGGGCAGCATTTAAACACAAAACATGTCTATTGTGTTAGAGCATGGGATCCTTTTCTGGCAACCTAATAGCATACTACTGCAGCAGACACCACCATACACCTCCTAAAAATGTTTGATGAATGCCAACAAATTGATTCACAGTAGGATATTTTGAGATAAGACACCCACTGCTTGACATCTCTAGGATGCAAGTTTGTATTCAAGTACTTGTGCTATCTTTAAAACCACACGTTGAAATGGTGTATGGGCTATCTTGTTCTTTTTTAAAACAATTGCAGCTAAACAGGGTTTAGACTATATGGAATAGCAGGCAAGAAGAAATGCAAGGGAAACAAATTCATAAGAGTCCAAAGTTGAGCCCTTTGTGCTTACAGGAATGTAATAGGAAGCATTGCAAGATTGTTCAAGGGGAAAGAGAGTTTATTTCATTTATGCAATCTGTTGATTTCTTGTCACAGGCATTTGCTTCATAAAAAGTTAAAAGTTTTAACTGATGGGGATCTTTTTTCATGCCTACTAATGGTTTGTTAACTTTGAATGTCATATGTTCAATTATAATTACCATATTTTTATTGCTTGCAGTATATTTTAAGTATTGTAGAGATTTAACGGGTCTTTCTGTCTCAGCAATTTGAGAATATACTTGAATGGAAATTGTTAATCCTATGATGTAAAATGAAATGTAAAGATAATGTGGTTTATATAGTATTTTTCCCTTTCTTGTGTAAAACAATTGTGACTAGTTAGATTTAACCCAGCGAATGACTTAATCAAAAATACTGTAGGTGAAACTTTAATGCTCTATTTGACAGATCAGTTGAGTATTTAGGAGAGTTTTCACTTGTTTTAATAGTAGTTTATTGATAAGAATTAAGCAGTTTCACTTCCCAGAATTTTACATGCTTATTGATGTTAGCTTTAGAGGTGCTTAATTTTGAGTATGAACTTTACATACTTAACTGGACTAAGGTGTTTTCATTGTATGATTTTCATTTTTAAAATGTGGTAGAATCTTTGCAAAAAATGTAGTTACGAATCAGTTAAATTTAATGGCATGAAAAATAATTGCCAATTTGTGTGTGTTGAACCCTGATAGCACTAAAGCTTGTAGATATTATCACATATTTTGTAGTTATTTTTGCTATCTTTTACCGATCTTGCTTGCATGGTGTTATGGTTTAGATATGAAAGTCTCTTGTTCAGAGGAGGGGATTTTGGAACGTGACTCCATCATAGGGGTTCTACACACATCAGTGGATTACACTGTTGATAGGTTAATAGCCAACTGTGCTGTTCAGTGTTGGGGCCTGGACAAAAGTGGCAGGCCTCGGGGCACATGACCTGGATGAGTATATTCTTGTTCTCGACTCCTCCCTCGCACCCCTCTGTTTCCTGGTTACCATGCCTTTCAACATGGCATTTCTGCCTTGAAACCAGAAAAACAAATATAAAGTTCTCCATCTTTAAGTTGTGGGTGTTGGATATTTTGTCCTAGTGTTGGAAAAGTGACAAATACAGAAAATTGGTAGCAGATGTGGGGTCATTGCAGTGACTGTACCTGATGATATAGTTTAAAAATGTTTGGAACTAATTTGGAGACAAGATTGGAAAAGCTTGGAGATGCGGGCCAGAACAACCTTATTCTTACTCACTTTCTTGTCCTGGAGACACACTACTCAACCCACAATTTAAAGGAGAGGTTTATTTTTGCTCATGGTTTTTAATGGATTCAGTCCTTAGTTACGAGTGCTTCAGGGCAGGAAGGGAATGATGAAAGGGCCTGACATGGAGGAAGAGTGCTTACATCAAGGCATCCAGATAGTAGAGAGTGAAGAAAAGAGTCCAGGAGGCTCATATATCCTTTCAGGTCACAGTCCAGTGACATGCTTCTTCCCCCCAACCCCCACTTTCCAGCAGCATATTCAGGTTTGAACCTGTGATCCAATCATCTTCTAATAGGCCTATCTCTAAACAGATGAGGCCTTTCTGGGACTTCCTATATCTAAATCATGAGAACCTAGAATGATGTAAATAGAATATTTATTTATTTATTTATTTATTTATTTGATACAGGGTCTTGCTGTGCAGTTACATCTCACAGTAATCCTCCTGTGTCAACCTCCCCAGCACTGAGATTACAGAAATAAGCCACAACATCTGGTTTTGGGATGGCACAGCATGTGGTACTTGAGTTTGAACTCGGGTCCTTGAGCCTGTCAGGCAGGTGCTTAGATCACCAAACAGTCTCCCCAGTCTATAAATAAAAATTAACTGGTGATTTTGTTTGGAGTTTATAAGTTTAAAGAGGGAATGATAATACAAAATAAAAGCCAGGCCCATGAGGTTTCAGAGAGGAATGAGTGCTCTACTGAAAACAACTAGAGGCTGTTCAGATTTCATTTTGGCAAATAATTTATCTATGTTTTGGCTATATCCTGAGACTTTGTGTGTGACTGAATTTAGTGTAGAGGAACCTTACTGTGGTGGAGGAACTTTCAAGGCAACCCAGTAATAAGGCTGTGCATGGATAATGCTGGCTGCCTTTAATCAGCTTCCTCGCAATAAATAAATAAATAAATAAATAAATAAATAAATAAAAATAAAAATAAAAATTAAAAAAGGGCTGGGGAGATAGCTCAGTAGAATAAGTGCTTCCCTGGCAAGCTCAGGGTCCTGAGTTCAATCTCCAGTACCAAAAAATAAGAAATAAAAATAAAAATAACCAGCTTCTTTTCTCACTGGCAGCAGAACTACATGTTGTCCTTTGGTGTTAATTTTTCAGCCATGCAGTAGGCAAGAGCTGTGTTGTGATGGAGGCTTCCACCTCTATCTCAGAAGAAGTCCTGGGAGGCTATAGAGTATGCCTTTGAGAGGGCACTGTGTAAAGTGCTGAGAGTGAAAACAAAAGTTTAGTGAAAACCTCAGGAAGCTAGAGATGTAGGAAGCTAGAGATGTCAGGATTGATGAAGGTCTGCTGGGTAGAACTACAAGCAGCAAATGAAACCAGCCTGAGAGTGGCCATATGGGCTGAAACATACATCACCATAGCTCACCACAGTCTGCTCTATGTGCTAGACATGGAGGTACAAGATTTAATGTTTTCCCTCCTGAATTTTATTTTTTTAATTCTTTTTTCTTTTTTTATGTGTGTGTGTGTGTGTGTGTGTGTGTGTGTGGCCAGCTCAGCCCATTAGGGGGCGGGGCTGGCTGGCATGTGGTGCTGGGGGATTGAACCACGGTCCATGTGCTTTGCTAAGCTTGTTCTAAGTAGGTGCTTTAGACCACTGAGCCATCTCACCAGCCCCATCCCTCCTGAATTTTAGTCTTGCTTTGGTTCTGTTTCATTCTAGTCTTATATTCCTGTCTTGGAATGGAAATTTTATGTTGTGTCATTATATGTAAGAAACGTTTTTCCTTTTGATCTTTAAAGGAGATGAGAGATAAGATCCGTCTTGAGTGTCAGAGGAAACTCAGAACATACACTTTTCAGTTATGCTGGAGCTGTTAAAACATTGATGACTCCTAGAGATGGACTAAATTCATTTTGCAAAATTGGATGCATTTCAACCTTTTGGGTGCCGGGGTAGAGTGTTATGGTTTAAGCATCTATGTTCAGAGTTGGGGATTATGGAAAGTTACTGGATCATTGATATATTACATACTCATCAATATACTAGTCCATTAATGAATATATAGTTGAATGTGCTGCTCCAAAGTGAAGTCCTGATCAGAAGAGGCAGTTTTTTGGGGACATGGCCTAGAAGGGTGTGTTCCTGTCCCTGTATCCTTCTATTTCCTGATGCTTCCTGACTGCTGTAGAATTCCTCTTTCATGTCTTCTATGATGCTGAACCTGTTCTGAAGCCAGCCACTCATGGCTTGAATCCTCTAAAAACCATGAGCAATAATAACCCTTTCTTCCTGTAAGTGGTAGGTTTGGGGTATTGTGTACCAGCAAAGGAAAAGTGATTAATATAAACGGGCAATTGTTAACCTTTGAACTACCATTCATAAATATGCAAAATGGTTCTTTGAGACTCTTAGTTTGTTTCCCCACGTTTAAGAAAACTTTATTTTGGGAAATGCATTCTTAAACTAGTATACAAGAGCATAATTGTTATAAGCCTAACCCACTTACAACTTTGTCCTATGTAAAAAATGTTAAGGTTTTAATAATGAAGTAGTTTGTTTCCAGTGAAACGTGTAGAATGGGCCT